GACCAGAGTCACGGAACGAATTAAATTCGTAACCCGAGGTTCCACTGTATCTTGTTTTTGGACTTTACATTTCAATTGTTTTAAGTGCCTTGGGAGTACTGTATAACTGAACAAATGATCTTAATCATATGCACAAAAACATGAATGTAAGTTTGAAGAGTTATTCTGCTTCTGTTCTGGATAGAGTGACCTATAGTGTTAGGTAATGTAGCTCTGAAATGTACACTAAGTACAAAATCTGATGTTATAAACAATGAAAGAAAAAGAATGCTCAGTTAGCTGGTGATGAAGCATACTTTTGCTACATCTGGCATTCAGTAGGACTGCCAGAGGATGAGACTTCAGGCAATAGTTCTGTACTAGTCACCTTCTGACCATCAGCTCTATGTTACAATATAGTATGATCTCCATAATTGACAGAGCCAAATCTCCAGATAGGTCCATGCATTTCTGCCTTTTCTTCCTCTGTGAGTTATTGTTAACATTACAGCTTGTATTATCAATAGCATTAATTAAGAAACTAAGAAGCAACTTTGTACTGAGTTAAACTCCTGGTCTGTGTAGTCAAATGTTGACAATGGCTAACAGCACACCAGCATTCTAGTGTATTAGCCAGGAATGGAAATATTTAATAAGTCTGATATTTTTTTTCAATCTTACCTAAGTTTCAGCTCTTTCCCATGAGTAGGGATTCATTGAACCACAAACATTGGCCAATGTTCTCATTGGCAGTGTAGCCTATAAATGTTGCAGCCTGCTTTTGTATAAATTCTCCTGGTGGTACAGTGGTCACAGCCACTAAGTAGAATTTCAGTTAATAAAGGAAAATGTTCTTGGGTCATGTACAACGTAATATGATTAAGTCCAACACCAATGCAGATTTGCAAAGAGGCATTTATGAAACTGGGTGCCTTGTTTTTTTATACACGTGTCATGTATATTCAGTTAGGGCTTAATTGTTCTACTCATACTCACTTCTACTCTTTAAATATGGACTAATATCAATAAGGTAATGGGAAATTTATAGAAGAGGGTAGAATCAAGAAAATATTTTATTGTTTATATTTACTGAGATTTTTTTTAATTGATAATTTTGAATGATAAATTGTATATTGTGATTGCCAACAAAGCTTGGTATTCAAAGAGAAGGCTCAACAAAATTAAAACTGCAAATCAAAAAATGAGATCACAGGACTGTATTATAGACACTTTGAAATAGCTGGATTATACTACCTAGAAGTAAATCACATCTCAGCAATTGTCAAGATATGTTTTGTGTGGCAGTTTAAGGTGAAGGAATTGACAGTCTGCTCAAGGATTTTATTTCTCCCCTAAACGTCTACAGCCTGTCAAATATCAAATTAAAGGTATATTATTCAATGTTCTATATTCATAGAAAATAGCGTTCTTGAGGATTCTCCTCCACAAAACATCCAAGTTTTTGCTTAGGTAAAATATTAACTGTAACATTTCCTATTCAAATATTATAATTGCTCTAGGAAAGAAAAAAAATCCCTTGTTCAGTGTCAGGGGATTAATGCTTACTGTTGCTATATGCATTATTTATTTTCTTTTTACAAACTCATGGATGCTATCCTGTCTTAAACACACACTGCTCTGATAAGCATTCTTTTTGGAATTTACTTATAAACAACCTTGCTAGTAAATAACACAGGTGTAGTATAAAGTTCATATTAATAGTAAATAAGTATTGTTTGATGTTGGGGAAAATAGTGGTTATGTCAGAATTTGTACAAATATTGATAAGTGTGTAAAAATCAAGAAGAACATGAAGGAATATCAAACATTAGCATCAGAATACTTATGTAAGTATAAAAAATGCATAATTCTCTTTTTAAGCATAAGTAACTGGGCTTTTAAAGGGGAATTGAACCTCAGCTGCTGGGTGGACTAGCAAAGAATCTGTGTTTTTATCCTTTGCAACAATCTAATAGGAAATTAATATGTTAAAACTGATTAATTGCACATAATCTTTTCCTGAAATAAGGTCTGTAAGCTTTACACTACAGACCTTTGATACTAT